CTTGTAAACATGTTTCAGTCAGTTTGGACTAAAGAAGAGCATTCCACAGTCTGGCTCCATTTGTGGAAAAGGTGGTAAATGTGCACAACAAATAAAGTTGACATTGACATTGACATTGCCACAGCCAGGTATGTTTGATTTGATTTAATTTGAAGAGGATTCATTTGAAAGTTAAAATTGTGAAATTCATTACCTTCGATGATCTGAATAAATCACCAGTGCTAAGTATGGTTTAGTCTCAGAGGTGTATACTAAATTCAATTCAATTCAATTCAATTTATTCTGGTATAGCCTTAAATGACAACAACAGTCATCTCATAGGACTTAACAAAACCGTTAAAATCGCCAACAGAGATTAGAGAATCAAACTGTTTAAACACAAAGAATATAAAACACATACTGTAGGTATTGGTCCATGTGTTGACCAATGTCCATGTTAGAGTTAGAATGTTAGAGTGTCCTGGATCATCACCACAGTCCTTTTAGTCAGACCCTCCTACAATGGCAAGGAAAAACTCGATAGGTATTTGATGCATCTGCCAGCGTCATCCTTTGGGTCATCGGTTCAACGCTTTCTGCATCAAAAAGCACGAATCAACATGAACTCCACATTTACTGCGGCAGAGTCTTCCTCAATAACTTTCTTTTGGAGTCCATCACTTATCTCCTTTACTGGCTGCCGTACGATTTGAAAAGTAAACATTTGTTCATCGAAGGGCATGGCGAGTTGCCGGGAGTTGTAATGAAATATGTCTTTTCAATGACAGAGAAGTAATAACTGTTTTTTTTTAATATTACGAGCTCGTGAAAGTAAAATGACGGCACTATCCGGTCAATCAGGAGGCCCCCTGTCAGAGCATGATTGCAGATTAGGACACTGAGCTATATGTATGCGAGCTGCATCCGGTAGAATAGCAAGTGCCTCGTCGACAATCAGAACTGCGTCCTCAGGAAGAGTGGAAGGGAGGCGCTGATTGTAAAGAGCCGTAGACGTCACAGCGGTGCAAAAGAGTGGCAGGCAGGACAACTAGAGGTGTTCTCATAGTCAATTATAATATATTTGAATAAGTTTAGAATGCAGCCAATTGTGTATGTATTGCCTTTCACAGAGATGCAGTGATTCTGTATTTAAAGAAGAAATAATAAGCAATGTTATTGGCCATTTGAAATCATCATGACTACTATTCACTACTGTCATATCATGTTTTTGTTTGTTGAATGGGGAATAAAAGCTCAAAAAGAAACATAAAGCAACAATTGTTAAGGTTAAATAATGCTATCGGGCTGCCCTTATCTATCAAAATAGAATCATCGTTGTTGTTTTTTTCCTGTTCAGAAAATTACCGGCTGCAACCACATCCATGAGATGGCAAAGAGCGACATTTTCAAAGCAAATTTGTGGGAAGTATTTTATTTATTTCGGGCGTGATGTCAAAGGGGGGAAAACAGGACTTAGACGGGGCTTTAACACTAGGAGCGCCCCTAGCGGTCAACTGACCGTCACTCACTTTATTATGCTAATTAGTGTATTCAAAACAAAACGCCAGAAGTTGAAATTTTATGACTTTTACTGGGTACTTGTTGTTTATATTTTTGTGTGTTTTGGTTTTGGAAAAAGTAAAGAAAACAAGATTTACACGCATTTTAACTTTTCTAAACCACAGCCCTTTCTGCTGCCCCATGGAGATACATGGCGCAGGGGCGACTGTTGTCATAGTAACCTTTCCCGGGGGTTTTTTGCGCCTTATAAAAATGTAGCAATATGTTGTCATTAGACTCTAAAGGGACTTTTTTATTATTATTTGGGAGAGAGAGAGGAGTACAAAATGAATAGAGCTGCAAGTACACGGTATGAAGCCCTGACAGTGCTTCAAGACATTGAATGAGAACAGTCTGACGGAGGTGAGAGATGTCACATTTTGAGGTAGAAAGTGACAGCGGGGAGAACACTTATAATATTCTAAATCTGAACGTAAACCCATAGTGCATTCACGGCACGGACAGCAGTGTTGTAACAAGTCCAGAAGCAATAACGCACATGACCCGCGTAATGCCAGCCATACGCAGGTGTCTGTGTGCGCGCTGTCGCTCCATTCTGCCTTTTCATTCATCATCAATTACATTCTTATATTTATACATACAAGAAGGCAATACAGCAGAATACAATATCGCAATAAAATAGAACAATTAGATGAACTATCAAGGCAGAGTGCAGATAGAGCGCTGTGAGGCCTCTCGTCACCCGCGGACACCTGCAGGAGGAGAGCGACTGTGGCAGAAGCGGCCCTCATTATCAATAAGGATATAATTCTTATTTCATCCAGATAACACTGTGTGTTATTCTGCACAGCGCGCACTGCAAGGCAATGATTATAATGTTGTTCTGAGCATAAAGAGCACTGCTTGTCTCAAATAAATACAAATATATATATACATATATTTGTCTTTCTAACGTGTCCCGTGTAAAATTGAAGATTGTACATTGGCGATGGTAGCCTAGCTGATGATCTTGTGTCAATACGAATATTATTATTATCTAGATAATATTTCCCACGGTGATTTCGGCCTCTAAAAAGAAAACAGTCTGGAGATGACGTAAGAAGTAGACGCATATAGCAGCGCAAAGACTTTATGGTCCCGTGCTTTTCTAAACTATAATTTATATTGTTTGAATTTACATATTGTTATTGAGTCAAATATAACATATAGTGACCGACCTTTTAGGTGTTTGCAAAGTTACAAAATAAATCTAACCTGAAAAGTCATCGTAATTTTGATGGATCAGTACACGCACAATGTGTCGTCTTAGTCTTTTATTTCGGCTAGAATTACAATTACTTAGCATATTTAGACAAATAATTTACACAGTTTCATTATGATCACGATTCCTTTGCAACATCAAGTTCTGGTTTAGTGAACAATCAATTTGGCAAAAGGCTGTATCAGCGCAAAATACATAGCGGTCAACTGACCGCAGGGGGCGGTGCAAGGTATGTTTAGAGCACGGCGGTCCTAGTGTTAAAACAGAAGGGGTCGAGTTACATGTTTGTACCAAATATTATCCTGGAAGGATCTAAAAACAACTCCAGGTCTGTGACTGAGGATTAACAATGTTTTAGCATGGTTGTGCCTTTCGAGCTGACAAATTGTAAATAGAGGTTCATTTGTAAATCCATATTGATATTGTAGATTATGTATGTTTATATATTTGCATGTGTAAATGTATAGTGTAAGCACAATGGGGAACATGGATAAAAAGTCATGTAAACTAAGGAATGTAAATGTCATAAATAATTAGGATTGTAAAATTTCTGCTCAAATGAATAACAAAATTAATCAATCAAATCAATCAATCACACCTCAAATAAGTAAAATTGTTATTATATATATAATAACACACTATTAAAACACTGTGTCGTAAGAAGGATGAATACATAATGTTGAGTGTTCTTACCAGTAATTGCGTTCCATTATCAGTTTTAAACAATTGTAAAACCCAAAGAATTGTAATTGTTTTCTAATCACGCTCCGGTGTCACTCACCTGTAGTTATGTGTTTGCAGATGAGCTTTCACAAGAACAAACGACATTTTCCATTTTCCAAGCCATTACACCAGCAGCATGCCTACCTTTGTACGTGGCTATACATACAGCATCTACCATTGAACTGCCTGCAACAGTATTGGATTTATATTTAACTTGATTTTAAATTCATGGCGTATTTGTGGTTGCGGTTGTAAGGGCTGATTTGCATGCGGAGCGAGAGGGTGAGATATGATCATGACACTTGAGATGCATGAGGAGGTGCTTTGTGTGGCAGGTGTGAATTCATGCACTTAAAGCTGTCCACTGCACTCATAACATGTTTACATTGAACCAAGGTCTGACTCAATGTGTTGAAATATTAACATGTTTGATTGAAAACTGAGGTTCCCTATTTAACATGTAACAAACATCTTCTTCTTCTGGACTGTTCCTGTTTGTAGGACGTTAATGCAAATGTCCCTCCCTCCGGTTAGGAAACGAGACACTGAAACACATTCAACAGCAAATACAATGTCTTGGAAACTTAAGATGGTTTTACAATCTCATTGTATATCAGGGGGGTGTCAAAAGAAAGTGCAAGACCACCACATACATATTTATTTAACGCACGTCAACATATACTATTATAAGATAAGAAAAGATAGACTTTATTGATTCATGTGTGCAAACATGTTAAGGGTTAAAAGTATATTCTGTGCAGCATTTGATTACAGTATGTACATTAAAAGAAAGAGTGGCAATAGCAGTGCAGGTTTTTTCAGTCCTACTGTGTTTGTGAGTGACTTGACTGACAGCGGTGGGGATAAAGGGTCATCTGTGGCCTTTGCTGTCACTTTGAGGTTTCCTGGAAATATAAGGTGCGTTATAAATAAAATGTTTTATTATTATTATTATTGTGTGTGCAGCACCTAAACACCAACACACTATACAGAAGTCTATGGGACTTCTGGGACCACCTGCTGTGACTGGGATCCTTGGTGTACAGATAAAGGAAGTGCCTTTGAAGGATTATTCTGTCTCTTCAAAGCGTTTACTTGAGGAAATTAGGATTATGAGAGTGTGCATTTTAATGACTGTTGTCTTCATAATATCCTGACGTGTTTTTTTTAACCTTAACTTTCCGACTTCCCACTGATTCCATCACATTTCTGTTTTTCTGAATTCTGATTTCTCGAGGGAATCCCTTTGATTTTGTTATTATACCGGATTGTTTACATCTGCTACATCACTACTACTAAATATATTATTCATAAACTCTGTGATATTAACTTTTATTTGGCAACATCACAAAATTGTCAAAGAGTTGCGCACGAAAAAGCAGACGTCTTAAAACTAACATGATTGACTACTGGCATCAAAAGAAAGGAAACTCAATGAAGGAAGTCAACCTTGAACCCTGTGTTTTAAGCAGTGAGGGTTTTCCTCTTCTAAATAATCACCATTGATTTTCCCCACATCTTTTGAGCTCTCAGATGCCAGTCCTCGTGATCAGAGAAGACTTTGTTTTTGCAGGGAGAAAAAGCACTGAAGAGCTGGAGGCGCAGACAAGGGGCAGACGCCTCATTATCGCCAGAAGCAGAAGTTACCAGAACAAACGTCATGTGACCTGCGCGGGTGAACGTGTCCGGCTCTTTGATTGTGAGTTCTCTTTCATTTCGTAATGAGGCTTCAGGTGAGGTCTGAGGCTCCTTCATGTGGACTTCAGAGCTGCAGCTTTTGTAGTAGCGACTGGAGGTTCCCCCCTTCTGACGAAAGAATCGTACTGGGAAGCTCTTTCATATTTTCTTCAACTTAAATGTTAACTCTTTTGTGAGTTAAAGCTGCACTAAATGACTTTATTTTCGTATTCATTACGAAAATGCTATCCATGTCCATGCAGTGCATTGGAATATACGTCCTTGTGAAGAAAAAGTAGCGCAGATTTGTGCTGGCGTGACATTATATTTTAGATCGAGTTTTGATGAAACAAGGAAGAGAATGTGTTTCGGTTTCTGATTGTGACCAATCACAGAGGACCACTAGCCCCCACTTTCGTGAGAAATCTACAGGTCCGTTAGCATAGACGGCTGAGTTAGCACAACAAGCGGCGGAGCTAACCTGAAGCTTCCTTGTCTTCGTCACCGGTTACTGCTTACACAGCGAGACAGCCATCCAAATGAAAGTCCCGTTGCTCCGTGCTTCCCGGTTCTATCGTTCTATGGTCTATGTAGCTAGCTTAGGTCCTGAATCATTAGCCTGTCCGTCCGGAGGAGCGGATCCCTTTCTCAAATGGGTCTCCCTGTGGGTTTCCCTAGTTCTCCCCAAGGTTTCTCACTTTTTCCCACTGGGTTTTTAAGAGTTTTTCCTTGTCGATGCAGGAGGGTCTTGTTGGACAGTTAGTGTCCAACAGAAAGGATTGGTGATGATCAGGACACTTTAGCATTCTACAACATGTATGGACATTTTCTTCTGTGTGTGCTTTATATTCTTCATGTGTTTTAACTGTTGATTCTCTGACCTGTGTTGGTGATTTCAATGGTTTTGTTAAGTCCTCTGAGATGACTTCTGTTGTGACCTAGGGCTATACAAGAATAAATTGTATTGTATTGTCACACGTGTGTGTGGGGGGCGATAGCTTCGTGGGTGCGGGGAGGGGAGCAGAAACAGCGAGGCCAGCGAATCCGCGACTTCAAAATCCCAAAGTCAGTTAGTGCAGCTTTAATTCTTGAAGACAGTTGAGTGGAGACTGCTTCTTTTAAGTTTGGCCAAAAGTGAGCAGTGTGCCATGCTTTTCTTGAACAGATACAGTACATGGGTTATTTCAAGAAATCGTCAAGCTACAAGAAATCGTGTAGTTACAAAGTGTGGACTCTGACCTTCTTAAATTTGACTTGGGACAAACATGAGACATAATATTCAAGAGATCATATACTTTAAGGTCACGGCAAACCTCGGCCATATTAATGTTGTTTGAAGTAGTTTTATATCTCTGGGTTGGCGTCTTTGAAATGATGTCAAAAGCTCTGTAGTCTGAAAAACTGAAAACAAACCTCAAGTCTTTTTGGATTTATTAGGTCTTTGTGTAAATCCTATGAAGTTTCCCAAGGTTTGTTTTTATATCAAGCAAGTTAGTCATTTTCACCAATACAACACATTTCACAGACCAGAGTTACTTGTAGCCGATAAACTTTAAACATTGTAAGTAATAATGGAAGCATGAGGAGCAATATTCCATTTTGTTATACATTTTTTGGCGTCATCAATTAATCTTACGTACGTTGGTAGTAAACTATGAAAAAGATTATTCATATATTCCCTGGAAAATCCTGTTGAGATTCCAAGATCTCTTTTTTATTTCCTGGCCAATTTCAAACAGAGAGGTGTATCGATCAACCCAGCTGCCTAACAGTGAGTGCAAAGTAAAATAGCGCAATTTCCCATATATTTCAATAATTTAAGGGATGCTAATCACTCATCAATGATTGATAAACATTCCCCAAACTGTACTATTTTCCAGACTATCCTTGAGGGTTCAGGTAATCCATCAGAATGTCGATACGATGAAGCGGTTTACCATAATATGAAACGCTATATTTACCATCATCTTATATAAAGGTCCTCCATAGCGTGAGACGGATACAGTTTGCGTCTCAAACGTGCAGAGAACTTCCTTCTTCTTCTCTCTCTGCCTGCTGCTCTTCTGTTGACTGGTGGTCCCTGTAAGCCGCCTCATTTGAAGGATCTTTCTCTGGTCGGTTGCTCTGATCACAGCCGCTCTCGTCTCAGCGTCTCCTCCGTGCCTGGTATTAATGAGCTCTTTGGGCACGCAGGAATCATCCATCAGCATAAATCTCCCCTAACAATAGTGAGGAGTTTCACACCATCAACATGAAGGCACTCGTAGATCACAGGCTGCGACAGGCCCTTGCTGCAAACCTGATAGATTCTCTCATAATGCTCTTTTGTGGATTGGATTCAGTGAGTCACTCCATAAGCATGTTCTGTGGACCAAATGTCACCAGCACTTCACAGTTTCAAGATACGCACCAGGCACCGTGGTGTTTTTGTTGACGCCAAATGGTGAAATACTAATCTTTGTACGTTCTTGGACTTGAATCTTAAAGAAGAGATTTTCAAATGTGTTTCATAGGCGTAACAGTTACAGACGTTATTTGCTCTGCATCCTTGTTCCCCCATATATTTTCTGCTATCCAAGAGGATTTTCTCAAATTTTAGTAAAGAACCTCCTCCTCAGAGGGAACGCCTATTAAAACATGTCTCACAAATCACCAGAACGATTGACAATTTGGAGCCTTTATATTGTTTAATTTATTAGCCCGGCTCAGGCCAATATGATCGTAGGCGGGACTAAAGTTCGGTCTGGAGGCAAGCTATAGATGATCCATCCGGAAGAAGAAAATCCTCTGCTATACCTTTATTATTCTAAATATAAATAATGTTAATGTTCTATTTCTCACTCTAAAACAGGAAATGACAAACAACAGCAAATAACAACGATAATGCAGGAGACTAGAAACTACATCCGTGTGTGGCTTTCACCTCTGCTTGTTTTCTCATATTTTATTTCCTCGTTCAACACCAGATGGCAGTGCGGACAGAAGTGACGTCTGAAACTGCAACGTTTATTGTTTCTTCTATATGAACGCTATAAAGCAACAGCATATTTGGGAAAAAAATTGCATGTATCTACTTTTCTGCCATTATTATTTTCTACAACATTATTTTCTGGTAGAAGCAAGATAATATTCACTGCTTCCGTATTGGTCTGCTCCTTCTAGTGACGTCACTGAAAATGTTGGGTTTTCTCAAGTTTTTGAGAAAACCCAACTCAACCAGTTTCAGAAAACTGGTGAATAAAGTAAGAGTAACAAGTGAACTGTGGGGATATGGCGGTGGCCTGTAAAAACAAAGTCGATTTTGCATGTATTGTCAACTTTAATAAGATGAAATCCAATGAATGGAGGCCACATGGTTAGTTTCTTTATTCCATTAATCTGCTTGGAGTCAAACTAGTGTTGCACAACCTCGTAGATCCCCATGACCACCCATCATGAAAGCCACCGAAGCTCTGTGTTGCAAACCTTAATAACTAGTTTCATCACCTTCTTGAAACCTTTTTACAAGCTATTCTCTTTAATTACACCAGCCATTTGTGCTTTTATCTCTTTGCCGATCTTCACTTTTCTCTTTTGCCGTGCCCTCTGCAGATGCACTGTCCATTATAACCTGATCAACCATGTCCAATTAGATCCTGAACTTGACAAGCGCCGGGGATCTTCACAGTCTTTTCCTTTTTCCTCTTAAACCTCGGGCCTTAGTCCTGCTCTGCTGACAGTCCACTAATGTGCTTCATGTGGTTTTCGCTAACACTACGCAAGGCAGAGTGTATTGCGTGAAAAGCCATCCTTCATTCAAGAATTTGAGGGAAAATATACTAGATTGATCCCTCGGTGGCGCTCCGACATTGTACGTGATCTTTTGTCTTTCACAGTGATTTAGAAGAAAATTAATCCACCCACCCAACGGAGGCCCATTGTGGTTTGACTGAAAGGGCTGAACATTTGTGTGCTTAGGTTCCACGCATAGAGCTCCAGTAGAGATAAGCTGCTTGCCCCTTTAGCTGTAATGTGACAGAGGTGGCAGAAATCAATAATATGTTTTTCCTTGAGCTGCCGTGTAAAATGTATTCTTCACACATGACAAAAGCACACGTTCGGCATGGCGTTCCACAAATAGGCTTCGGTGCCTGCAAGGTGATGATGCGGTCTTTGAAATGAGTGAGTAATGTGGAATTGCAACTATTATGATGATAAAAAGTAGAAGAAAACAGCTTTATGAAAATAACATTAGGCAAAATTACAAATGCTACTGCTTATTACACACACACACACACACACACACACACACACACTACACCGCAAAATGCATTAAATCCGATTAGAATCCTCCCCTCCCCACTCTACTTCCTTTTATTCCTTATCTGTGTGATTTTTATGTAAATATTGATATGCATTGTTTCCATGCTTCCAATAAAGATAAAAAAAAGACTAGTGTGTGCCATCCTGGTGCACACTAGGGTCTTACACAGTTTTTTCCAATGTGGTTTTACTGCAAATGGCAATTCTTGAATCCTGAAAAAAAGATGTAAAACAATAGTGCAGTGTTCCCCAACCTTTTTCATCTGAGAACACGCCATTCTCATTAAAGTGTGTTATATAGAAAATCGAACTAGCACAAAAAGTATTTCTAATCTTTCTTATAAATTTTGTATTTATTTTCACTTTACTTTGATCAATTTGGATGTATTGGATCATTTCCAAAGGCAAACCAAACACATTCCGAGGCACACGAACATGCCATGGCACACTGGCTGAAAAGTACTGATGATGTACAGTGCCTCTTGAAAGTATTAATACTTTTTGTCCGGTTGAAAACCAGAAACATTAAGATTTGGTTTTGATTTTTTTCCTGAAAGTTCACACACAAGAAACAGATTTGGAGCGAAAACAAAATGATAAATGATTCCGTTATCGTCTTAAAAATAGAAAAAAGTAGGGCATAAAATCACATAATTACTTTACTTTCTCTTCACAGTTGTATGTAACTTGTGTGTGAACATTCAGTAAAAAAACAATATCACATTCATGACTGTATACATGAATACATAAAAATGTAAAAAAATACTATAATTATACTCACAGCACCCTCCGCAGCTGGTTAAGCCTCTCTCGCTTTCTCTCTCATCGATGACAAAGGATGTTCCATGACATGTATTTGTACTTATGGCCTTGTTTATCCAGGTATAGGACTTTCAGGTGTTTTATTGTTGTATTTCTTCTGTGTTCTTATTGTTTGATCTGCTGTTGGCGAATCAACAATTCACAGACGCCCTTCGCAGTTGTGATTAATACTTGGATTCGATATATTTGTGCCAGCACTTCAAGTAACCTGAACCTACCAGTCTTACAAGGCGCCTTTCTCTTAGTGTAAGTGGGCCTCGTGGGATGTTTAATTGCACTTGATTTGGACGATTAGGACACTATTAGTCTGAATGTAATTGTAATGTTTTATTTTGTCAGACCCTACTACAGCAACTCCCCATGCACACAATTAACACCACTCGCAGGATTCAGAACAAGATGCCAACCACCAATGCCAAATATTTCAACCGTCACACTTACGCTTTTTAAAAATCTACATTAAGTCAAAATGAATAATTATTTATGTTACTATGGAGTACAATTGATTTACTATGAGACCAAGTAAGGTAAGTTTATTGGTTGGGATATTGAAAAGATAACAGCCTATGTCATTTTCTTTTTTACCTTACATATGAGGCGACAGTAGCTCAGTAGATAAAGCATTGGCCTTTGAGCCTGAAGGTTGTGAGTTCAAGCCCACCACAATCATCTTAAGTGCATCAAGAACACCAAGTGCCTAAGTGGGGTGTCTGTGGCCGTAAAGTACCAAACTGCAGTGGTAGTTTATCACCACCGTGTTTGGAGTGAACGAATAATGACATATGAAGCATCTTGGAGCGTCCCAAAAAGTGCTAATGCATTATTATTGTTAATATATTTGTTTGCACCATAATAAGTGCATTTTTATTTGTCCCACAGTTGAGAAAGCACACATATATATATAGGACGCACTCAAGCCCAGATATATAAGCTATGCAATAATAGAAAATGAACCATGAATGCTATTTTAAGTAATTTGCTTCAACAAATCCATAGCACAGTTTGCGCTCATACTTGGCTCTATATTGTCAAATGGGGCTACAACATGTTCTTATCGTTCTTTCGCACAAATAATAAAGTTTACACGAGTCGTTTAATGCAGCTTCCGATCCGTTATAACTTTGAGCCGAGCTAATGTTGTTGTTTACTGTCGTACAATAACAACAAATCAAAGCCGTGGTCGTTGACGCGGCATTATTTCCCCTCAGGCTGAGGTCAGACCACCGTAGACTGTGACTGTAGAAACTCTGATTGTAAACAAGCTGCGAACAACTAGAAAACTTTCGATCGCTGCTAAATTAGAAAGTAACTCGTATATGTGGAAGAAACAAGCACTGGCCATAAACTTCAAAACAACTTTTTTTTCATTTTGGAAGAGATTCTGTGGTGGTGGAGCCGTGGAGGTGTTGGATTTGATGCCAGATCTGTATCAACTTGAGAGTTTGCCTTTCTCTGATGCAGCGAGACAGCAGAAACCAGCCAGAAGAGCCAGGCGTGTCCAAACCAGTATATCGGGTTTACTGGCAAGAACCTTTTCAGTCTCTTTTTGACACTTTGGACTGAGTGCTGATTTAGCGAGAGTGAGAAAAATGGATGACCTCTTTTTCTTTCTGTCCGAAAAAGTTGATGGGAAGATGTAACAGCATCATGATTACATGTGAAAAATAGTGATAGAACAAAGCTGTTTCCATAGTGAGGGGCAAGGTTGGTGGCTTTTCTTACACAGTTCCATTTGTTGTGGTTTGATTGTTCCGTACCCCCAGCTTTAACCAAATTTATCCAAAATTCGACGTATATTCATAGACAGTATACAGATGAACAATCCTAGCCCGCTACCACAATGAAGCCCATTTAGAAGTGCACATGGACAAAGTTTTGCTCTAACTCGCTTTGGCATTCATTGACTTGTATTGATAAGTAAGTGAAAGGATTCCATCCATCCATCTATTTTCTTCCTCTTAATCCATTTCTGGGTCAGGGGGTGGCCAGAGATGCCACCTAGTACACATAGCAACAGCCCCTCACTGATCCTCCTGCAGGTGGTGAGTCCACAGGAGGATGGCCGCTCTATGGCATAGCCTTGATCTTTCAGCAGGGGCTTCAGGAAAAGTGGAGTTAAGTGTCTTGCCCAAGGACACAATGACAGCAGTCATCAGTGGGAGTCGGTGGAGAATGTCTCATGGTGGGCTCGAACCCACGACCTTCAGGCTCAAAGGCCAATGCTCTACCAACTGAGTCAGTGTCGCCCCAAGTTAAAAGATTGTGTTTATATACAGTATTTATATTGACTTTGTAATAACAAATGAGAGCTTTATATTAGGATTGGCCCATCAGATGCCTTCATTCAGTGGTCAAAACTCTTAACTTGTTTTACCAACGCGTCTGCCTCAGTTGTGGTGTGGAGCTAACGGCGAGGAAGAAATGCCTGTATCAGGAAATTGGCTCCAGCTCGCTCATGCTCAAATTGGCTTCTTCCTCATTAAGGCTAACAGTATGGGTGAGATCAGCACTAATATACTGTCTATGTTTAAACCCCTTTTCCCAAAGAAAATAATGTACGTAGCTAAGAGATTAGTTTATTTCCCTATAGTGAACTCAATCAGCTGGTGAACCGAGAAAGCATCAAAACACAATGAATACTTTTTTTGAGATATTAAACAAAACAATTTTAAACATGGTACTCAACCCATGTCTAGTTCTTTGAAAATACCTACCTTTCAAACTTAACAGAAAATGTAAATATTTGCCAATGTTTGGTTTCCATGAATTTTTTGTCTGATTGTTATATAAATCAAGTATAATTGTGAGTAATTAGGCACACTGGTCACAATAATTGCAGGCTCTAGACGCTATGGCATTCTCATAAGATACTCCCACCCACCTCAAATATATCCTGTAATATAGGCATCCTACGGACCCATAATCATACTGTTTCTCAATAAAAATGGCTGCTGGTGTGACTGTATGTGCACCCTTTACTTTATTTCACAGTACTTTGTCTGAAAGCAGATAATAACAGAGTATTAGGAAAAAAAACAAAAAGAAAAGACATTTGTGCTCTTGTTTGTTTTGATGCACTTGGACTTTTTCTCAACACTTTTCTCAACCGGATTATACACACAGAAGTGCTACAATATGCAGTATAAAAACGCTAAAGGAACTAAAAACCTGACAGCTCTTGTGATTTACATAATTGCTTTATAAAAAATACCAAACAAATAAATCTCAACAGTATCTCAGCAAAGAAAGAAACAACACAAAATAAAGTAGATTTACACTTTTACACTTTGAAAAATCTTAAGGCGGTTGAAGAAGTCAGTCAAGTTATCACTTTACAAGATGCTGACATAACACAGTCACATCAGGCTCAAGAAACACAATGAGATTGATTTGGACATACGTACCTTTCCTAATGCCATTTATCCCACAAAAACCTCTTACCTATTTATGACTGTTTTTTGGTACTAAAAAACCCAGAAATTATTGTTGTGGAAATGCACTGGTGTGCTTTTAAACAGTCATAAGTGAAAAACCCACATAATTCATCCAAAACAAGATCCTCAAACAATAAGTAAATATTAAAATACCTGAGTGTCAAACTCAATTATAAAAGTGACCCTCAAAGCAGAAGGTGAAGTTCAGGGTAAGAATGGCCATCTCTGGTGTGAGGTGTGAGAAATGCTAATCTATGAACCCATGGCTCAATATACATCATTTAATATTCATACTAATCTAAAACAACATTTTATTTGTATTCCTTTGCAAAAACAGTAAACATTAAGTCAATAAAATGTGTTTATGCCATATTTCAGATTATGAAGGTGACTAAAAACCATAAAGACGGTCATTGTCAGGGCTTTTGTGACGCCATTTTACTGTCAATCAAAAGGGTTTTCTAATCCAAATTATAAAGTACCATCAAACTGGATTATTTATACATTATTTATAGTAAATGCCTCTTGGCCAGGGCATCCTCGGAAAATAGATTTCCAATCAATCTCAAGATTTTGAAACTCAGTAGGATTTTCATGCTTAAATACAAAAATAATAAAGATAACGGAAAACACGTCTTCTGACCCTGATCAGAGGTCTCCATCCCCCAGTTCTCATTAGTGAATTTCACGTTTTGACAGCTAGCTTGGAGATTTTAATAGGTAGGTGGATGAGGTTCTTTATTCTCTCTGCCCATTCTTCTTGGCAAAAAGCCACTAGTTCCCGTATATTCCTGGACCACCTTGCATGAACCGCACATTTGAGATCTCCACACAAAGAGGCTCAATCATGTTAACATTTGAAAATAGCAAAAAACAGTAAGCCTCCCCACACAACCACTAACTTTGAGTCTGACAAAAATCCCTGTGTTATCATCATAATCTCGAAAACATGAGCAAAACAATGACATATTATGGCTGGGGGTGATCTGTTTTAAACTGTATGTAAAATCAGTGGCCGTGTTGGAGGATCAAGCAATGGCTTCAGTATGAATCTGAAAGCAACTGTGTACGTTATTTCCCCATTTATTTATTTTATTTTGTTTTTTTTTATTCATTATTGGTCCTACATTTGAACACTACTTACATTTTCCCATTTAAGTTCAATCGCGTAATCTGTATTTTAACTGTTCTTTTGAGGCTAACTTACTATTCAAGAAATGTGTTTTACTGTTTATGGGTAAACATGCACAGAGTTGCCTCCACTACATAAACCCAAGTTTCTATCTGGGTTAGTGTGATATTATAAATAATACATTATGGCGATAGCAGTGTTTTTATAATTTGCAGTTGGGAAAGCACAACACACTTTCCATGGCCGCATTACCTCCAATGACCCTCCTTCTAAATTCTTAATCAACTCTAATCACCTCTCTTAGTACACAGTGGCTGGCTATTTACTAATTCAGTGCAGGAAACTGGTGAAGACAAATTGCCATGAGCCTGTTTGAAATCTGTTACATAAACATCTTGATAGACAGTGTCAAATATATTTAGTTAAAAGTACAAATTCACAGCCAGTCAGTCGGAGGATTCACATTCTCATTTTTTAGCAACATATTAACTTTTTATATACAAAACGATCAGCCTTGTGTCTATTAAAAGAAATGTTTTATCAAGCACTAAGGCGTGAAATCCAAAGAACGTTCTCGTCATTGTCACAGGGATTAGTTAGAAGAAGCCATCAAATAAATATACCTTTCTAAATATACATGAAAGCTGCCATAGACGGATAAAAATAAGTATCTATTACATTCATCTCGCAAATTAGAAAGCGTTGTGTTGAGAATTGAAATTGAAAGTAAATTAAAATCGGGTTTTTCTTGTATCTGATTCCCAAACCACTCAGAAATATTGTAAACATTTGTGGTGTTCCACTTTGGTAATAAAGATACAAGTGTATGTAGTACTGGCACCCGTGAACTTACTGCTTTCACATCAAACTATTCATCTACTCCGCAAATACTGTTACGTGTGTAAGTGAATAAAAGCGTTCTTATCATATCAATAGAACAATAATGACGAAAAAATAAAAAAAGAGGCGGTGAGATGTCAGGCAGGTTTGAACAAGGCTATATACCATTCTTTAGCAACACCCTTAAAAAGAACAGCTCTTCCTTGAAAAACCTCATCGTTTCCATTCACAAATACTTTTCAATTTACACAGAAATATATAAAACCATATCTGTACATAGATTTGAAGTAAATATATTCAGGAAAACAAAATCTCATTTCAAATCAAGGATCTGGATTGTTCTTCAAAAAAATATTGAGGTTTCAGTAGACATATGTTCAGTAGTAATTATAGTTACACAACAGCAAATCCACTTCCACGGGACTTGGCCATGCGATACCCCAAAACCTAGAATCCATGATAACATATATTAATAATTTCCCATATATTTTCTCTTTAATAGATAAAAGTACCCTCTCTGTTGTTTTACATAAATCTCTGATAAATAGCCATTTCTCTCACAATCAAAAGTAAATATGTGGTTGAATATAATGCGGTAAAGTTCCCATGTCTTTAATCACGAGGTTCTTGTGTCATGTCTGCAACAGGATGTCCATTAAAAACAGCTAAAGAGTGAGTTAGTTATTTATTCTGCGCGGACACGCCTTTCCAGTAGTCCAAAATATCATGCAGGTCCTCATCCTTCGCAAACTGCACTTTCTTCCTCAGCGCGTGTCCCGCCGCCATGTACTCATCATCTTTGTGCCGCTTTCTGTGCAGTTTAAACTTCTCCCAAATGCTGTGCGAGGGTTTGCAGTAGTACTCCGGGCTGGAAGAGTAGCTCAGATTGTGATACTGGGACGACAACTGGGAGTACGCCAAGTCTCTGGACCGCGAGTGGGTCAGCGGCTCCAACATAGACTTATGCACGTCGGGTCCTTCCAGTTCTTCTATTTGCGCGTCGGTGTACGAATGCCGGTGGTCGTTGTATTGCCGCATTTTCTCCGCCTCTGCGCGCAAGATGGCCGCGGTGGGCGTTACGGTAACGATGGTGTCTCCGGTCGGGGAGGTCTTTTCGATGTACTTTGATTCAGAGCGATAGGGCCTGGGACTGCGCATGGGGCCTCCTGTCGCCGTGCTTGGTCTCTTGGGAGAGGCGTCCGAGCTGCGATGCCTCTGCAAGGAGTGGTGATAGCTGTCTTGATACGGCGGTGACAAGAGGCCGGATTTGTTTTGGGGGTGGTCGGATAAAAGCACAAGCTGCGGCTCGGCTGTTGACACCGCGCCCGATTTGACGCCCTGGAAAGAGGTGGACTCAGTCTTCAGTGCGTCAATACAGTTGTTAATGATCTGATTGACTTTATCTACCTCTTTTGCGATGGTGGAAATCTCCGCCACAGATCCCTGGCTGTTTCCGGGCATCCCCATCTCGCACTCTCTGCGGTCGTGGTGGTCCATGCTCCTCACCTCCATGTAGTTTCCTTTCATCATTTTAGGTGTGTCGCTGATTTCCTGAAACTTGTATTGATCCAAGTCTGCCCCCGGCGGAAGGTAAGGCATACGTGCCATGCTCTCCCCAGTTAACAAATGCTTCTGTGACATTCGCGATATTGTCCCTCCCTCCAGCTCTTGTCCATATTTCAACTCCATTATGTTTTTCTTTATGGCCCCTGCTTTTTTGTGCTTTTCCTCTTGCTTGCGTTTGCGTCTCAAGCAGTAGTACACCACCCCGAGGAAAATGACCATACTAAACAAGCAGCCTAAGATTGTCATAATATAATGCGTGGCGGTGGCATTGTTGGTAATCTTTTCTTTACCGTTCCAGGGCCCGGTGGTCACAGTTAGACATGTGTGGTTGCGACGCAAGGAGTTACGGATTGAAGCGACACAGTAGGTGTAATTAGTGTGGGGTTTAAGGTCCTTAAGTACAATTTCCTCTTGTATGTCTTTTAAATTTTGAATATCTGTGAAAAAGCTGTTGTTGTAAAGAACTAGGATGTACATTTTCTTGAAGGGATAGGGGATTTGGACTGAAAGAGTTGCCCCATTGTTGGTAACTTGCTTCAGCTTCATTAGAGGCTTCATTTTGGGATCTATAGAGACTGTACTGGTGGTGATGTCCTCTGGTTCGGTGCCAGAAGGACAGTCCTCTAACGCACACAGGGTAGTGTCTGGCGGTGGCATGGTTGGCTCCGTCGGTATATCAATAAATGGGGTGACATAATCATCAGTACACACTGTGGTCAGCATGTGCAGAGCGTTCTTATAAGTTGGATCGTTGGGATTCTGGCTCAACAAACTGTAGCCGTACACACCAGATGGAGTCTCACACACCATCCGGTCATTGGTTCTATTCGGGAAGGTCGACAGCCATTTAACAAAGCCGTACAACTCACATGAACAGTTGAAGGGATTGGTATACAGCTCGCAAGTAGTGAGCTTGGTCAAGCTGCCGAATGTGGATCCGTCTAACTGCTGGATGCGGTTCATGGACAAGTCGATGTTTTCAATATTGGGGCATTCCCAGAAAGCATTGTGTGTCACACTCTCGATTAGATTGGCTTGAAGATAGAGGTACTGCAGCTTCCCGAGTCCCCTGAGGACCCCCTCTGTCAGATTTCGCATCTTGTTGAAACCCATCTGCAGGACTTGGAGGTTGAACTGAGCGGAAAAAGCCCCGTCTTCGACATAGGAGATGTCATTCTTAGTCAGGTTCAGGTAGGTCAAGTTGGCAAAGCGGCTGAGTGAAGAGTAGTGTATGCTTTTGATTTTGTTTTCATTCAGGCGAAGGTCAACGATGGTGCTGTTGATATGCTGGGGTATGGCCTCAAAAGGTGGCTGGTTTTGGCTACAAATTGCAAGCCACACAAAGCCCTTTTCGCCCTCGATTAACCAGCAGTCTGGCTTAACTCCACCCATTTGAGTCAAACAGACAATGGCTACAGACCAGTAGAAGGCACTAGTCACCACGCCCCGGCTGCAGCCCATTGGTGCTTTTCGGAGAGTCATGTGACCACACAAGAAAACACAGATAGTTTGATTTGTGGGTTCAATGCAGCTGGGACGGTCCTGTTGTCACACCAGACAAAATCCTATTTTCTGTTTTCTTCATTGATTCGGATACCAATGTTGTCCACTTCCAAGTTAAGTTTAGTGTTCAGTGTGTTGCTTCCGGCTAAATTTCATTCATATGTGCTTTTCTTCATCATTCTTCAATTCATTTGCAATCATTTTCTGTTCAGCATCTTTGGAAAAACCTGCAACACAGAGAAACGAGACGCATAAATAACACTGTTAAACATTTAGAATACAAAAGCTGATACACTTAAAAGCTCGTGTCAGTGTTAGTCTGTAATGTGTGCAGATGAGAAATGATTATGGGCTCTGAAGTTTGGTATTGATCTTGGATGCACGTGTTACAAATATTCTGTGTCTATTTTGGCTGGTAAACATACATCTATTAAATATTCTCTTACAGAACACACAAGAAAATAATATGGCTTGATAGTCAATGAAAATACACACACATTTGAGTTTCTGTTACATTGACAACCCTGCAGAAAGATAGGACTCAAGGTTACAACAAGACTTCTTCATTCACGCGTAACCAATTATTTTGTACACAATTAAAGAGGTGTTTGCCGTCCCCGTGGCAGCCTGTTATTAAAGCAAACCACCGGCCAATTACTGTTTGCCGGTTTGGGGAAAGCAAGGTCCCACTTTTCACGCCATTAATCTGAAGGCTGTCATATGCATTTGAGGCCAATCAAAAAAAAAAAAAAAACCTTAATTAGTATTTCGTTTTAAAATGACATCTTGAGACAGTAAGTTCCAGCAGGGTCACTCATAACATCTACAATACATAGAAATAACCAGTCTTTTGAGTTTTTAAATGATTTTCACTTAGAATAATTTGTCCCATACTGTACAAAAAAAAAAATGGTGATGGTACGTTGAAGTAGGGAAAATAATAGGTAATGTCCATCTTCTTGGACAAGTTTAAGTTATGATGAGCAGATGATAACATAGCCATTCATTATTTTAACAGGTACGGTATTTTGAGAACAAATTTGCATGACCATTATAACGTAAAAAAATAAAATAAATCTGGCAATACCTGCAAAAGCTTGATTTAGTTAGACCACAGACGCTAAGTGGGACATGCGGCATGCCCTGATTAAAACTGTAGTGGAGGACTTCCGGGGATACGTCTGGACGGCTGAGGCTGTAAAAATCTGAACTGAACTTGTGTCCTTAGGCAAGACGCTTCACGCATGTTGCCTGGTATGAGTCTAGTTTGTGCATGAACGACTGGTGTTGGTTAGAAGGGCAGATGGCTCAGACTGGCAGCCTTGATTCTGTCAGTCTGTTGTAATTACAGAAGTACTTTACCACAACTGTGTACGGAATGAGTGATTAATGCCATCTGAAGCAAAGAGATGCTTTGCTTAAGGTCAAGTTACGGGTGTATAATCTTTTGAGAGTGAACTTCAACTTAAAATGGGGTGGATAAAACAAATGGCATTTTAGGGGCAAATGTTACAGCTACACCATTTGTACATTTAAACATTTGCTTCTTTTTGAGTCTGAAGTGCACGATTTGGGCTTATTTTTGACTGTTCCGATGTTGCGCCGAGCAGGACAGACTGACCTATAGAGGCCCAGCGGGAGAAAGAGGTGCTTTTATGTGCTCGAGGTAATGGCCTTACACCACAGAGATGATCACACACTCACAATTGAATGCGACATTTCAGAGCATGCTTAATCTATTTCATCTGAGTGAGTATGAAGACTATTCCCCATGTCGTTTGACCTTTACAGGAGCTGTGCTTAAAAAACTATGCGAGATTTTGGACCCAGAATTTAAATTACTGTTCAGAATTTCAAAGGGTGCATAAAAAGCAGAGTGCATGAAATGAAAAGTGTTCCATAGGGGTAATATAATGGAATTTTGTCCAAACTTGTGGGACCTTTGGATTGTCTGAATTACTTTTTGATGCCTGTGGATCTCATATCAGTAGTGGAATATTTTGTATGATGACCAAGGCCGTCTTATCTGAGTTATAACACTCAGTGGAACGAGCACAAGGACAGAAAGACTAAAAGACTGAAAGACGCAGACTGAGAGGGCCCCTCATCGACAGCAATAGAGTATGCAAAAGCACCAGTCGACTGACCATACGGACAAGGTTGGAGAGTGGTGGGGTGATTATTATTATTTTTTTTGTCAAGCATCAGAAACAAAATAAGTGAAATAGCTAAATATTTAATGTCAACTCGCAAACGAGAACCAGAACTGCCAACTCCTAGCTCCTAAAAAATCTTACTTCCGGCAAGCTAGTATTTCATAATTCAATTCAGATATGTTTTGTTCATAGTCCTTCATAAAAAATATCGGAACTGAATTGAATCTTTATGATAGATGCTGTATATCAGTGTCTCCCAAAGTGGGGTCCGCGGCCCCCTGGTGGGCCGCGAGGGTACTGCAGGGGGGCCGCGGGAGGTCATAAAAAAAAAAAAATATATATATATATATAATTATTTAATGTTAAATTTATAATGTTTTGTTTGTAATATTAAAATATTTGTGTTCATTATTTGACTTGAATAATCCACTGTAATCATTTTTGTATTACAATGTTTGTAGCAGAGGCTATTTCCCCAAAATAAAATAACCAGAAGAGCCTATTCTTAATGTTGTCTTCTTGGTTATTATTTTGGGGGGGCCACGCAGACCCGTCAGATTTTTAAGGGGGCCTCGGTGTTACTGAGTTTGGGAATGGCTGCTGTATATTATTGTCCATATATCAAATATGAACGATGTACAAATTGCATTTATCCAATACAGATACACACACATCACCGTATTGACTTAACAGCTTGCCGGCCTTTTAGAAATGTTATGATTCATTGATGCAGCCTTGTACGTCTTCATACAACGTTTCGGATTGTGAGAGACAACAATGGGATTTTACAGTCTGTTTTTGGAAAAGGGGAGACTGGTGATTCACTGTTGCGTTTGACTCATCTCAGTGAACTCTGTGAGACTGGATCTGATTGCGTGAGACAAAGGCTGAGGTCTGGATTCTCGTACGTGTGAACAGCCCAAAGGCGGCGATAACAACAATCCATAACGCTCAGATTACTCCATTCATGTTCAATATTGCATGCGTTTACTGTAAATAGGAAAGCTGTTTATCTCCAGCGGCATATTCACTATTTGCGCTCGTCCATTCTGATCCACACTGAAGGCAGCGTGGGAAATGTAAATGTGTAAATGTGATGTGTGCAATGGGTAATCACTTTGGTTTAAATACAACGACTTTTCAGCAGAAGAGGAGAGGGTGGGCCATGGGATCCCAACCCTTTCCCCAGTATTTCCCCTGGAGACTATGACCTCTGTTCAAATAGAATTAGAACACATAGCCAAATGTAGATAAGTACTTTAGACATGTATTGTTTGCATGGTTGTGTGACAATTTTATAGATTTAATTGGAAAATGTCTGTATAAACAACACAATGACAAGGTGATTAAACGTATAGAGTACACAATTTAATTTGTCATTGATTAGTACCAACAGCCTTTTCCCATCATGTGTTAAATTGTTGGTATTAAATTTGTATAATTAATACTTTTTAACATCCCTTCCCTTTTTCATCTCTTCACTTTCATTATTGAATGAGAAACACCAACCTTCTTAAACAAATATTATTTTCAGTCCCTAGACTCTAATCTGATTGTATCTGTGACTAATGCTGAGCATGCAGACAAATCTTAATTTCCTCCAGGGATGAATAAAGTACATCTATCCACGTTTCTATCTATTTATCTATACAGAAAATATGAAGAAATAAGAAACATATTGTTGTGCGTGAATAATGATAAAACATGTGGCAGCAGCAGTAGTTTTTGTTGTTTATGACAGAAGTAGCTATTGTAAAGTGAGGGCCATTATCTTTGCATAACTTCATACTTTCAAACACATTCACATCATTGTGCAAGTTGCTTGAATGAAGGTTTTCGCTGTATTGTTGTATTGTTGAGAAATCTTTTTAAAAAGTCATTTAATGAAGTTGATGTTTTAAATGAATCCACCAGACTCATCTTGTATCCCTCTCCGCATCCCATTTATTGTATTCCACATTATGAATCTTTTGTAACGTGCTGGAAATCACATATCAAGGCTTTCACTCAAAAATGTAATTACATCTCACAAAACCCACCGAAATGATCTTCAGCACGGACCAAAAGGGACTGGTCACCTATTCAGCTGTAGATAAGACAGCCCAGTACAAAGCTGTTGTGGACACAGGCTGACAATGCCAAAGGCTGCCATTACCAAAGCTCCGTCCTCACTGCCACAAAAGAGAAGTGAATGCGACGACAGAGGAGAAGAGCCAGAGAAAAGAAGTGTATGAATGCCCTGGGGGGGTAAATCAAATGTTCCATGAAATGAATATGAAAAATACAGCTTGGCCAAATACACGGTAAGGCAAAAAGATGTCTGAAAGAAAAACGGTGTGTCGTTATTATTCCCCACTCTCTGACCTTTATCTCAAATACCGCTGCATAGAGCCGGCCGTGCCCAACCTTCGCCCGTGCGCTACATGACACTCCTGCCTGCGCAAAGGCCCTTTCGCAGCTAAATGGAAGTTTAAGTTAAAGCGGAGCAGGTCGCCTCTCATTTCGAATGCATTGGCTGGGTTTTTGTTTGTCCACAGTGACTCACTCCACGGAGCCTCCAGCTGATTCAATGCCCCACCGCACCGCTGAAACCCATGCATACATTATAGGGCAGCTCTGGTCGGGACGAAACACAAATAAGAAGTTGCACTCAGAAATTAGCGGTATGATACAGGATGGGTGAAAGAAAAGTGGTTACAAAGACAACAAAATTTGACGTCTTGAGAGCAGGGCACGCCAGGTTCAAAGTTTGTCATAATTGTTGTATTAGGTTGGAGCAACACTGTTTATTTTTTACTTGAA